GTACTGGGACGGGGAGGGACTGGGACGGGGAGGCACTGGGGTGGGGATGGTACTGGGACGGGGAGGGACTGGGATGGGGATAGACTGGGATCAGGATGGCACTGGGATAGGGAGGCACTGGGATGGGGATGAACCGGGATGAGGATGGCATTGGGATGGGGACGAACTGGCTGGGATGGGGAGGCACTGGGATGGGGAGGGCACTGGGATGGGGAGGGCACAGGGATGGGAAGGCACTGGGATGAGGATGGCACAAGGATGGAGATGGCAGTGGGATGATGACGGCACTGGGATGAGGATGGTACTGGGACGGGGAGGGACGCGGATGAGGATGGCACAGGGATGGAGATGGCAGTGGGATGGGGATGGCACTGGGATGAGGATAGCACTGAGATGGGAATGACACTGAGGTGGGGATGGTACTGGGGTGGGGAGGCAGTAGGATGGGGGTGGCACTGGGATGGGACAGGGCTGGCACTGGTATGGGGAGGCACTGGAATGGGATGGACTGAGATGAGAAAGAACTGGGATGGGGAGGCACTGGAATGGGAATGGCACCGGGATGGAGGTGGACTGGGATGGCTATGCTGGCTAGGAACAAGAAAGACAAAACCAAACTAATCGGTCAGGATGGCACTGGGATAGGGAGGCACTGGGATGAGGAGGGCACTGGGATGGGGAGGCACTGGGATGGGGATGGCACCAGGATGAGGATGGTACTGGGGTGGGGAGGCAGTAGGATGGGGATGGCACTGGAATGAGGATGGCACTGGGATGGGGATGGACAGGGATGGAGATGGCACTGGGATAAGGATGGCAGTTGGATAAGGATGGCACTGGGATAGGGAGGCACTGGGATGGGGAAGCACTGGGACAAGGATGGACTGGGATGGGGATAGCACTGAGACACAGATGCACTGGGATGGCAACGAACTGGGACAGGCAGGCACAGGCCTGAGGATGAACTGGGATGGGCTGGCACTGGGACAGGCCCAGGAGCAGACCTGGGTGCCTGGGGGCACTGGGAGAGGGGCAGACGTGGAGCACTGGGGGCACTGGGAGGGGACACCTGTGGGTCTCAGTGGGCACAGCCCCAGGTGTGGGGAATGGCCATGGGCATTAGGCCACTCGTGTCTGGGATGGAGATTTGGGAACTGGAGCTGTAAATCACCTTTGCCTCCTGATCCCAGTGGATCATCACCTTCCACTGCCTCCTGTGCTGAGGAGTAATGGAAACATTGTCCTCTCCTCTCTGCATTTGCTAAACTTGTTTTTCTTCTCATCTGGGGACGTTATTTTCCTTTGTATTTGAATTTTGGAACAATAAAAGAAGTGGTGGTAGGATTTTTTAATGATTCATTGAGGATTTATTTTTTTTTGCCGTGGTGAGCGAGGAAGGAGCACGAGGAGGCCCCAAGCTGTGACAGCTTAAATGGAATGGGATTTCAGGGAAATAATAAATGAGATTTGCAATGGCTCATTTGAAATACACATCATAATATTCTTCATCCCTCGAGTGAGGCACATAAAATACCCTTTAAAATCTTTAAATTTAGGCAGAAAACAAATACATTTCTCACCTCATCTATGCCAGCAAGTTCCAGCTAAAACTTAGATCCTGCAGACACTTTGGGCAGAGTTGAAGGTGCAGGTTCACAGGGATGGTGTGAGCCAAAGGATTTCACAACCAATTGAAGTATTTGTGTTTATTTCTACTCTTATTTTGGTTTTATTTCTAAGGGTTGTTGAGAGATCCCTATTTTGGGGCTTATTGCCCTTTTATCTCAGTGCTCTACTGATGGTTTCAGTA